GATTGCTGCACCAGGAGCTCGTAACAGATGAAAGAGCAGTGACATATCATTTTTCAGGGGCTCAGTCACTCGGGGATTCAATCTGTCCACAAGAGCAGAGCCAGCCTGGGTTGGCTGGGGCTGATTTATTTCCGGGCTCCTTATTGTTCTCCTGGGATTGTGGCAGTCAGACCCTGGGGCTTTGGGACCACTTGCTAGTCAAATCTGCTAATGAGAAAACATCTGCTCTACATCAGGCTGGTATTATTGTGGAGTGCTGTTGTGGTAGTGAGGACAGGTAGCAGGCAAGTGCCATTGTGTAACCCTACCACGGCCCAAAGGAGCATCCGATCCCATCTCCCATCCCTGGAGGCACTGAGGCCAGGTTGCTGGGGGGCAGCCTGCCCGTAGTGGGGATTTGGGGTTGGGTGGGCTTTAAGGTCTGCCCCCAACGCACACCATTGTAAGATTTTATGATTCTGAGGTTTTGCTGTGACATCGAGCTGTTCCCAGCCTCAGCGAGGGTCATCACTTGCCATCACGGTGTTGAAAACTGGACCAGCAGCAGCTGGGCTTGGCACATCCATCAGGAAATGCCCTGGATAACAGCAGGCAGCATCTCTCTGACTTCTCTGAGCATGTCTCCCTGCCCGACCGCGCAGAGCCATGTTCAGTGGGAGCTGAACTAATTGAGTGGAGACCATACTTCGTGGAGTCCATCAGAAACAATTTAGTTCTGGGTTGTGGAAATTGGCAGCTCCTAGCCCAGCTCTTGGGTCTCATAATAAGGCCGGGACCGACACTGCTTTTTTTAACCTGCACTATTTACTTGCCCGGATCAGTGCGTTGCTGCTCAGCGGGAGCTGGCTGCGCCGCCGTGCTGGAGAGTGGAAGATGCAGCTGCCCAAACCGTGGCTCCCATGACAGCTCTGTAATCAGAGCTGCCTACTCCTGTTTGTTTTAAATCACTTGCTCTTATTTTTAAATGGGTTCATTGAATCGCCACCGTGCTGTGACCCTGCTGCCACCCCCTGACCCCGCAGCCTCCCCTCCCCGCCTGGGCTCGGGCTGTGTTGTTTTCCCAGCCCCGAGGGCTGCTGTTTCACAGATGTAAAAATAAAAGCTGTAACATGTGAGAGCATGATGATGAGAACAGGGGCGGCAGAGCCTGCAGCCAGACCCAGAACCCAGAGGCTCCGTCTTGCTGGCTGAGATCCCTTCAGCCTCATGGTCCTGCACTGTCCTCCTTTCTCACACCCTCCCCTTGCTTCTCACCGCTTTTCAGATGGCTCTGTACTTCTGCACCGGCGTCCTGAAGGACGAGACCCTCTTCCGCCACTACGCCCTCAACGTGCCCTTCTACACACACTTCACTTCGCCCATCCGTCGCTACGCAGACGTCGTTGTGCACCGGCTGCTCTCCGCGTCGCTCGGTGGGTGCTGTGAGTCCCATGCAGGTGGGGCTCCTGGGTTCCTGCCTTGAGTGCTTGGGATCCATATCCCACCAGGCAGCTCTTTGGCACGTGGGGTGTCCTCAGTGTGCACAGGGGGAGCTGGGCATCGGGCTGCTGTGGATCAAGAGAGAATGTGAACCCGTCGTTGTCACTCATCTCCTTCCCAGGTATCAGCTCTCCCATCAAGATGGAGAAGGAGGCCATCCAGCGACAAGCAGAGCACTGCAATGACAGGAAGATGGCTTCCAAGAGAGTGCAGGAGCTCAGCACCGACCTCTTCTTTGCCGTCTTTGTCAGGGTAGGAGCAGTGGTGTGTTCTCTTGAGGGGTTTCTCGGATTTCCCCATGAGTGCTCAGTCTGGGGTAGAGAAGGGAACACTCTGTGACCGTCTCCAAGCTTCGGGACCTGGTCACCAGCACAGTGAGACAGGGCTCCCCTTGGGCATGCTGGTGTAGGATCAGAAGTGATAGAATATCCCAAGTTGGAAGGGACCCCATAAGGATCATGGAGTCCAACTCCTGGCTCTGCGCAGGATGACTCAAAAATGAGACCACATGTCTGAGTGCATTGTCTCCTAACAGGAGAGCGGTCCTCTGGAGTCTGAGGCCATGGTGATGGGTGTCCTGAATGAGGCCTTTGATGTCCTGGTGCTGAAGTTTGGAGTCCAGAAGCGAATCTACTGCAACGTAAGTGTTCCCAACACTGCCAGTGCACTTGCTGCCTCAGCACACTGAACACTGGGTGTCCCTCAGCAACCTGGAGGGGCTTGGGGGCCCAGAGCAGCCCAACTCTCCCCACTGCACGCTGTGGGTAATTTGTCTCCTTAAAAGGAAATGAAGGCAGATTTGTGGGGACAGAGATCAACATGGGGCTGAAGCAAGGAAACAGAAAGGAGCTGGCTTCCATTTCATTTAATCACGTGGTGTATCTGGGGCTGTGACAGCACTGCCATAGGCCAGCACCTGCAGTTAGTGACAGCAGCTTCTCGTAATAACCGGGTTATATGGCTGGCACTGACATTTTTAAGCAGAACATATAGCATGATCTATGGGCTGTTTGTGTATAGCAGCCGCCCCTGATTTACTTACTTAGCTCAGACACATGGGCTGCTGCAACCTGGTTGCTACAGGGCTGCAGAGGACTCTGTGCAAAAGCAGTGTCATCGCCATCCACAGTCAAAGCAGGGAGTGGGGCTGGGGGTGCCAGGGGCCACAGGCTGCTCCCAACATCTCCTTGCCTGCAGGCACTGCCCTTGCTGGGCTTCCACTTCCAGAAGGTGGGGAGGAAGCCAGAGCTGACGCTCATGTGGGAGCCAGAGAGCCCAGAGCAGGAATCTGTGTCTCAGGTAAGACCCCAAGCACAGGTTGGACTCATAACCACATGGATCCATCCCGTGATCTACACAGGGATGGATCTGGGAGGCACAATGCACCCCCATTTCTCCCAGCACCCAGCCTTACTCTATCCCATCGCTGCCCCCACGCCTGACCCCACCACTGCCTTCAGACTCTGCCCTGCCCGCTGTGTGTACTGCCTCCCAATCCAGTTTCCTCCTGAATTTAATTAACTTGCTGTTTACTTCCTTCTTCCAGATCATCAATTAAGATGTTAAGTAAGAACAGGCCTAAGGCAGCTCCTGCTTAGCCCCTTCCCCCCCATTCTGGTATTTCTTGTCCCTCTTGCTGACACAGCCCTGCCATCAGGTTTCCATCCATGTGACAGGGCTGAGACCCATTTAGAAGGATTTTTTTTTTAAATCAGACTTCCTGAGATGCAGCGTCAAATGGTTTAACAGCATCTAGAAATCTCTCTCTTGTGTCCCTGTCATCTATTAACTTGGTAACTCAATCAGAGGGAGCAATCGCATTTGTCTGGCTTGATTAAGTGGTGCCTCTCTGCCAACGTTTATCTGGCGTGGCTGTAAAATCACAGCTGTGTTGATTGCTGTGATCCCTGCCTGGTGCCTGGGCGGGGATGGGAGGGCTCAATCCAACCCTGTCCTCGCACTGAGAGCTCTGTTCTGGGAGAGCATTACTCCTGATAGAGCTGACCTGGAAGATCCCTTCCTGCCCAGGGAAATGTTGCTCAGCTCAGGAGGGTCAGAGCAGAGCTCCCCGGGGCTGCTGCAGGCTTTCTCCTCTTGAGCTGTGCTTGGCTCATAGAAGCCTCTGCATGCATCCTGAAATGGCCTCGGTTCCTCCTTCCTTGCAGGAGTGGGTATCACTTACACCCTAGCAGGAACCTGCATTGAAAAATGAAGCCCCCAGCATGAGCAGAGCACGTTTTGGTTAAGCAAACACTCAGCAATGGAGGAAACTCCTCCACACCTCCTAAGAAAGCAAGAGAGCCCTCCCCTTGGGAGCAGCTCTGAGCTCTCGTCAAGAACATCCCAGAGCCTGGAGCACAGAGCTGAGCACAGAATGGCTGCAGAATGGCTTCCCTCTGCTTTGCTCCTCACTGAGTGCTTTGATGCATTTCAATCTCAGTGAAATTTTCCTGCTCGAAGTGATGAATCTGGAGCAGCAGGTGTGGGAGGAGCAAGAAGGGTTGGACTGTGTTATTCGGAGAGGCTTTCTGCCTGCTCCTGCTCCCTAAAAGCCAGACCGTGGGGACAGTGAGAAGGAGCTGAGGGCACACACCAGGGCATGATCCCCAGCACCACGTGTCCATTCCAGCCGTCCCGGCCATCTTGTTATCCTGTATTGGTTGCAGAGTTGATGGATGATTTATGTCCCTAAACTGCACCATTGCACGAAGTGATTGATCTGGGGGCCGGCAGGCAGCGTGCATTCCTGAGCAGCAGACATTGATTTTCTGCAGTCTCTATTCCCTTGCGTATCCCTTATCCAATCCCCTCTCAGGTCTCCTTTCGCTGTGCGAGCACCAGCGGTCATTCCTTCATTAAAGGATGCTGAGAAAATGCGACTCAACCTAAACCCTGCCGTGATGGCAACCCGCTGCAAATCCCCTCTCCTCTCTGTGTCCTTGCTGCAGGAGATCACCATTTTCACACTGGTGGAGGTGGTGCTGAAGTCGGACGGGGTTCCCCTGAAATACAGCGCTCTGCTCAAGAGGCCCAGCACTGAGAAGTGAGCGCGCCCAGCCACAGCTCTGACACTTTGTCACCAGCACCCACGGGGACAGAGGGGACCCGCCAGGAGTTTGGGGATTTGAATTTTGAAATTGACGTCATTTTATTTCTGGTTTGGATTTTAACCCAGGGATCGGGGTTGCCCCAGGTGGGGCAATTTCTACTGGCAGATATTTTTAGCTTTATGGTTTGTTTTTTTTTCCTTTATGAGACTGTGGGTGCCCGCCCCTTGCCACTGGGGGTGCCTGTGGTGGGGGCAACATGGAGGCTGATGTCCCTGAAAGCAGAGGGGCTGCTTTAGGCTGGGTGGGCTGACCGGGCCTCTCAGAAGGGCTCCCAGCTGGGCCACGTGTCGTGAAATAAAGCAGGTCAGCAGCCGTGATGGGGACTGCGCGTAGGTTTCATTTTGCCTTGTTACCCGGGCAGGAATCTGACCATAACTCATCTCTCAGGCTGCCCTGTGTCTCTCAGGGCCTTGTGCAATCTCAGCCTCTCTGTTTGCTCAGCAGAAGGTGGGGGTCAGGAGGATGCACGTGCTCCCAACCTGTGCTGCTTCCGCTAATCCCCCAGTCTGAGCCACCACTGACAAGCACTGGGTGTCTGCCCCAGCCTCCAGCCTAACCCCACACCGGGTCCCTTCAGCCACAGACAGGACTGTCCCTGGCTCTGTGCCCACCCAACACTGAGGAGCATGGGGCATGTCCTCACTTCTCTCTTCTATGTGGAGAGAAGCACCCAGCCTCAGTCCTTCACAGAGCGTTTCATCTGTCTGCTCCAGAGTTCCTACGGTGCTCTGGCAGCATCTGTGTCATCACCTTTGTACAGCTGGGATAGGCTTCTGGCAAGAGGGAATGCCATTGTGCTGGCATGCAGGGAGGGAGAGCACTGTGCTTTGCTTTGTGTTGTTGGTGGTGACAGCTGTGGCCCTGGCATGAACACAACTGCCATGCATTGCAGCAGGGACCTGGCTGTGCCTGTGCTGCCTGGCTCAGCACCAGGGGTTGGGCTCTGGGATGGGTCAGAGCTGGGTGCTACATGCACGCCAAGAGCTGGGAGATGTTGCAGTCCCCTGCAGTCCCCAAAGGATGGGCTGGTGGCATCCTTCCAGTTGCAACCGTATGCCATGGCCCTGCCCTCCACTCATGTGGGATGTCACTTCTCCCTGACTGTGGACACAGCAGCCCATTCCTCTGTGGGTTTCCATCTCTCTCCTGCTTCATGGACACAGAAGGCAGTGTATCACCCTGTCCCTTGGGAGAGGTAACCTGAGGACACTGACACAACAGCAAGCTGTCCTCCCCTACCCCTCATTCCATTCTTCTTGTGTTTTTTCACTGGGGAAACAAGCTCAATCCAGCCCAGCCCAGCATGTCTGCAAAAACAGCCCTTTGACCTACATACTCCTCACCTGTTCTGGGGTCTCTGCAGGTGTGGAGCTGTGGACCCTCAGGTACAGCCTCAGGGACACTGAGTGCCTCAGGGCAACCCCACTCCCCAGGAATAGGCTGGAAGTCCTACCTCACCTTGAGGGGGAAGGGATGGCCCTGGGGAGGGCTGGGGACACCGGGAGGGCAGGGCCAGAAGATGTCCCTGAATGTTATCAGCCCATCGTCTCACCCGCAGCAGGGGCTCAGCCCTCTGGCTGGACAGGGCAGGACATAAAGGGCTGTGTCCCCCCCAGCCCCACACACAGGCGGCCATCAGGAAGGAACGTGGGCTGGGCAGCATGGGATGGCTGCTCTCTTCCAGGATCTGTTTCCTCCTTCTTTTCCTCGTCCCGCTCACTGCTATTGCAACCTCAGGTGAGAGCTCAATGGGAGACGTGGTGGGGTGGGAGCTCTGGGGCTGCTCTGGGGCCCTGCACACCCCTAGCTCTGCTTTCACATCCAGATGCTGAGAAAACCCCACACTACTGGAACGAAGGGGCCAGGAGGAGGCTGGAGGCAGCCCTGGCCTTGCAGCCAGTGGCACAGCGAGCCAAAAACATCATCCTCTTCATGGGTGATGGTGAGTGCTCCATGGGTGCTGCCATTTCCCATGTCACTGATTTCAGCACACTGGGTACAAAGCTGTCCTCCAGCAGCTGCTGGGTCCCTCTTCCCCTGGTAGCACGGCCCTGGAAAGGGAGGGCAGGACCGTCCCCAGTCACAGCTCTTTGTCACCCCTCGCCACAGGCATGGGGCTGCCCACGGTGTCAGCAGCCCGGATCTACAAGGGGCAACTGGCCGGCAGCTCGGGTGAGGAGAGCGTCTTGGCCATGGAGACATTTCCACACGTGGCCCTGGCCAAGGTGAGCAGGGCAGTGCTGAGGGGGCACAGTGCTGCCCCCAGCCCCCCTGACCCTTGCTTGCCCATAGACCTACACCATCGACCGGCAGGTGCCCGACAGCGCTGGCACGGGCACGGCCTACCTGTGTGGGGTGAAGGCCAATGCCAAGACGCTGGGGCTGAGCGGGGCGGCCGTCTATGGCAAATGCCGCACAGCATTCGGCAACGAAGTGGACTCCATCCTGCACCGGGCCCGGCTGGCAGGTATGTGGGGTGGGTATGCTCATTGCAGAGGCCTGCTCGGCACAGGTGGGCTCCCCACAGACCCCGTGCCGTGCTGCAGGTAAGTCGGTGGGCATCGTGACCACCACACGGGTGCAACATGCATCCCCTGCTGCTGCCTATGCACACTCGGCCAGCCGCAGCTGGTACGCCGATGCCAACATGCCTCCAGAGACCCTGCGGGACGGCTGCAAGGACATCGCCTACCAGCTGGTGCACAACACCGACATCAACGTGAGCTGGGGACATCGTGGTGGCTGCATCCCTGGGTGCTGTGTCCCTGTGCCGGTGACAGCCCTCCCCCCCTCCTTGCAGGTGATCCTGGGTGGCGGGAGGGCCTACATGTCCCCCAGGTGGACCCCAGACCCTGAGTACCCGGACGACCCGGCGCAGAATGGCACCAGGAGGGACGGGCGGAACCTGGTGGCCGAATGGCTCAGCACCAGGGAGGTAGAGCAGAGGGGACGCAGCGCTGGGCACGGTGTGTGTGCCACTGCCACCGCTGTGTCCTCGCTGTCAGGGCGCGCGCTACGTCTGGGACAAGAAGGGCCTGGATGCGGTTGATGACACCTCTGTGAGCCACCTCATGGGTAAGAGCATCGCTGGCTTTATGTCGGCAGTGCCACTCCACTCTGGGTGGCACGAAGTAGCCCTAACCCCTCTCCCCCAGGCCTCTTTGAGCCCAAGGACATGAGGTATGAGCTGAACCGCAACGCCACCACGGACCCCTCCATTGTGGAAATGACAGAGAAAGCCATCCGCATCCTGCGCAGGAACCCCAACGGCTTCTTCCTCTTTGTGGAAGATGAGTGCAGGGCCCCGGGTTGGGACATGGGTCCTGGCAGCCGGGTGGGATCAAGGTGGTGATGGCCCCATTCCCTGCGCAGGTGGAAGGATTGACCACGGACACCACAGCGGCCGGGCCAAGCAGGCGCTGACGGAGGCCATCATGCTGGACCGGGCAGTGGCACGGGCAGGCGAGCTGACGGAGCCCTCTGACACACTGACCGTGGTGACGGCTGATCACTCACATGTCTTCACCTTCGGGGGCAACACGCTGCGAGGAGCCTCCATCTTCGGTGGGACTCAGGGAGAGACGAGCATCCCTGCTCCCGCCCTGTGCTGTGCCTCCATGAGAGGCCATGGGAGCTCCGGGGAGGCTGCTGACTGGTGCAGGGGGTGACAGTGCACTTCTCCATGTCAGGGCTGGCCCCTAAGAAAGCGAAGGACAAGCGAGCCTATACCAGCATCCTCTATGGCAATGGACCGGGATACAGCATTCGTGATGGGGGCCGCCCAGCCGTCAGCCTTCCAGCTGTGGGTAGGATTCTACTGGAAGAGAAGGAATGGGGTGGTGCCTTTCTGGGGTTCACCAGAACACCAGGGTGATGGGAGCTGCTTCATGCGAAGGGCAGAAGAGCTGCCCCCAGCACCATTTCTCCTACTCTCTCCACAGAGGACAAGGACTACAGGCAGCAAGCGGCTGTGCCCCTTGACTTGGAGACCCACAGTGGGGAGGATGTGGTGGTGCTGGCTCAGGGTCCTATGGCCCACCTCTTCCACGGGGTGCAGGAGCAGCACTACATTGCCCATGCCATTGCTTATGCTGCGTGCCTCAAGCCTTATGATGCCAGACCCCGCTGTGGTGCACCCCGTAGAGCCTCTGGCAGCAACCAACACTCCCCACAGCCTCTACTCGCTCTCCTGGCCCTCTGCATGTCTGCCTTCATGGTGGTGGGCTGAGAGACCCCACTGAACCCTGCTTCAGCCCCCTGTTGCGGGCAGGGTCACAGGATGCAATAAAATGTGGGATGTCTGGGTTCGTGTGCCATGGGATGATTTGTAGCAGCAGTTGTACCTCAATTTCCCCGGGTTGTGACTCCTAACTGGGGCCTGCACAGGAGTGAAGCAGAAGAAGAGACAATGGTGAGGGGTGGCCATGTACCCACAGCTCCATCCCTGGGTTACTGGGAGCCCACAGTATAGAGGAGTTTGCGCAGCTTTGAGGTGCTGTGCACAGCCTGGTACAAGAGCTGGTCCTGACATTTAGTCCCCATCAGTGCCTTTATCGCTCCAGGAAGTGCTGGGTGGAGCCACCAGGAGCACCCCAAGTCCCTCCTTCTGCACCCCATGTTCCCTCCCCTCCGCAGCACCTAGCAATAAGGTGGCAATGAGGTGCCAACAGCCCAGCCCCACGGCCTTTGAGCCGATGGCCCAACAGGATGCCACGCTATCTGTGAAATGCCAAACCCCTCAAGGGCAGATCCTGGTCCAAAGTCCCCCCCTCCGAAGTCTGCAAAAGAGGCAGGCACAGCTGGAGCTGGTGACAGCTGCTCCAGTTCCATCATGCGGCTGCTGGTACCCCTCATCCTCTGCCTTGGCCTCTGGGCAGAGCTTGGCACTGCTGTCATCCCAGGTAGAAACAAGGATGGGGATGGGGGAAGACACCCCTGGTACCAGTGTAGTGCTGGCCTGGCTGTTCACAGGGCATGGCTCAGGAGGGAGCAGGAATATCAGGGAGCATTGGGATGGGGCTTTGTGTCTGCTGGTGGGCTGGTGTTGCCCTGTGGGATTGGGGTCCTGCTTTTGTTTGAGTCGGGAGGGAGTGTGTGATGTGCCTATAGCTCCTCTACCTCCATGCATTTGTCCCTATCCCACTTGGCAGCTGGTTTCTCCCACTGCATCCCTTCTTGCTGCACACGCCCTTCCTGTCCGGGTGTACATCTCTGTGTCCTCCCCTCATCCCAAACCTGTGGATTCATCTGTATCTCCCGCCCGCCCCCCCCCCGCCCCCCCGTCCCCCCGTGGAATTATCCCATGAGTGGGAGCCCAGCGATGTCCTCAGTTGGGGGTGTCCACCATTGGTTGTCCTGGGGGAGTGGGTGCCATGAGCTGATGTGGGCAATGCCCCTTCCCAGTGGAGGAGGAGGATCCAACCTTCTGGAACAGGAAGGCAGCTGCTGCCCTCGATGCCACCCTCAAGATCGAGCAGAGGACTACTGAAGCCAAAAACCTCATCATCTTCCTCGGAGATGGTGAGTCCCTCTGGTCCAGTGTACCATGAAGTGGGGATGGGGAGGGCATCTGGGCTGGGGGTGACCTGAACCCTCACTCCTTGTCCAGGATTTGGGGTCCCCAGCATCACAGCCACTCGGATACTGAAGGGGCAGTTGAAGGGGAACCTGGGACCTGAGACCCCCCTTGCTCTGGATTCTTTCCCCTATGTGGCTCTCTCCAAGGTAATTTCCCCCAGTACTGCACTTGGGACCATGCTGCAGGCCATGGGGCTGTGGGGGCAGACATATGGCAAGAGGTGCCAGTGTGCCCTGTGCATGTCCTTGGCAGACGTACAATGTGGACCGGGTGGTTCCCGACAGCGCAGGCACAGCCACTGCCTACCTGTGTGGGGTGAAGGGCAACTACAAGACGGTGGGGCTGAGCGCAGCCGCACGCTCTGGCCAGTGCAACACCACGGAGGGCAACGAGGTGATCTCGGTGCTGGAGCGAGCCCGTAATGCTGGTACTGTGCAGGGCATGGGGTGATACGGAGCAGGGGCTTCACACCACTGGGGCTGCCCACCATGGTGGGGTGTGTTGGGGCAGGGAAGGCAGTGGGCATCGTGACGACCTCGCGGGTGCAGCACGCATCGCCCTCGGGGACCTACGCGCACGTGGTGGATCGCAACTGGTACGCTGACGCCAGCATGCCGCCTGAAGCCATAACACAGGGCTGCAAGGACATTGCCTGGCAGCTGGTGCACAATGTGGACATCAATGTGAGTGCCTGTCCATGGGGGGGCAGCCCCTGCTGACCCGGACATCCACGCACTCTGTGCCCATCTCATCCCCTCCAGGTGATCATGGGAGGCGGTCGGATATACATGACCCCCGCTGGGACACCAGATCCTGAGTATCCTGAATACAGCTCCGAGAATGGGATACGGAATGATGGGCAGAACCTCATTGACAAGTGGCTGTCAGAACGGCAGGTGGGTGACAAAGAGAAGACAGCCCTCTGTCCACCACCCCTTGTACATGGGGCCAGGCATCACTGATCCCATGGGGATCTACCTACAGGGTGCCCGCTATGTCTGGAACAAGACAGAGATGCTGGCTGCTGCTGCAGACCCCAGCGTGACTTATCTGATGGGTAACAAATGCTCCATACGCCGGGACGTGGCACTCCGGGGATGCCTACAGACACTGAGGCTGTGCTCACTGTGCCCGTCTGCCAGGTCTCTTTGAGCCCAAGGACATGAAGTATGAAATGGTGCACAATTCCACCCTGGATCCCTCTCTCACTGAGATGACAGAGGCAGCCATCAACATCCTGAGCAGGAACCCCAATGGCTTCTACCTCTTTGTGGAAGGTAATTCAGGGCTGAGGTCTCAAGGGTGGGCGAGAGAGAGGGCTCTGCATTACGGGCCACTGCCGTGGTTTCCCACTGTGGTTACCTGCCTGCAGGTGCGAGGATCGACCACGGCCACCACGAGGGCATGGCACAGCGGGCACTGATGGAGGCGGTGGAGTTTGACACGGCCATTGAGCGGGCAGGCGAGCTGCTGGACGAGGCGGACACGCTGACCGTGGTCACTGCCGACCATTCACACGTCTTCTCCTTTGGTGGCTACACCCTGCGTGGCACCTCCATCTTCGGTAGGGCTCAGAGCAGTGAATGGCCCCACGCTGGGTGCTGCCCCTCTCTCAGGCTGTGGTGTGGGTCTTCTTGGCTGATCCCCCCTCATTATTTCCTCCCCAGGCTTGGCCCCTGAACAAGCCACCGACCACAAAGGCTACACCTCCATCCTCTATGGGAACGGGCCAGGATACCCAGGCGCCACAAGGCCTGATGTGAACAGCAGCATCGCTGGTGAGGGCACAGGGCAACAGTGCGGTGGTGGGATGGGGCTGGGGGCCACCTCCCGACTCACAGGCTTCTCTCCCCCAAAGAGGAATTCAGTTACATGCAGCAGGCGGCCGTCCCCCTCAGCTCGGAGACCCACGGGGGTGAGGATGTGGCCATCCTGGCCAAAGGCCCCATGGCCTACCTCTTCCACGGGGTGCAGGAGCAGAACTACATCGCCCACGCCATGGCCTACGCCGCCTGCCTCGAGCCCTATGAAAACTGCCGCCAGCGCACCAGTGCTGCACCCTCAGTCCACCTCAGTCTGCTGGCCTTGCTTCTGCCTGCTTTGCTCTTATCTGTCTTCCACTGACCCCACAGCTTCCATCCCCATCCCACAGTGCACACCCATGGATGGGGCTCTTTGGAGTATCCTTGCTTTGGATGTGGTACACCAAATCCGGGGCATGGACTGCTCCTTGCCGCCTGCACAGGGTACTCATTGTTCAATAAACCTTGGTGTGATGCTAGCATGTGTGGCACTTGGTGTGTGGGATGGGAAAGATGCTCCTGCACCATGAGTCTGCCCACGACTGTGCTGCCTGCAGCCACCTGTCCCCATGCCATACTCTGGCACATCTGGCATATCCAATGATTTATTGACCAGAAAGAGCAGCAAAAAATACAGCACGTTTGTGTGCACTTCCAGACAGGCCGGCACCACCCCAGCCCCCAGTGACTGATGGGGAAAGGATTGGGCTGGCACAGAGATTGGTACTCTCGGTACACCCGGTGCCTCCAGGTCCCCTCCCTGCCCTGAGCAGCTGGATGTGGGGAGCTGGGAGCTTTGGGGTAGTGTGGACAAGAGGGTGCCACTGGGAGAGAGCTCATAACCCCAGTGTATCCCCTCTGCCTTGACACACCCCATCCCAAGTGGTTGCCTATTTTGGGGTGCACCCTTTGCCTGCAGGGCAGATGGGGAGCGGGCAGAGAGCGGCACTGGTGCAGGGATGGGGTGCCAGCCTGCAGGGACAGCAACTTCACCACACCGAGCACTTGTGCACCGGGTTCATGGGCGAGTTCTTGGGGCAGTGGAAAACACGGCCAAACTCCTCAAACTGTGAGACACTGCCCAGGACCCTGTGGGCAGGGGGAGAAGCTCAGAGCTGTCCCAAAGACCCTGCCCCTCACCCCTGCCCACCCCAATGGCACCGCATCCCACCCATGCTCCCATTTCTACCTGTAGTGCTCCGGGGCATGCTTGTCTGTCAGCACCTGAAGGTAGATGGATTGGGATCGCCTCTTGATGCACCAGTTCTGGGGGAACAAGGTCCCACGGGTGAAATAGGCAGGAACTCCAGATTTTGACACCCATCAGGATCCCCAAGGGCCTGATCCCCACCGGGATTGGCCCTTCTGTTTGCTGGGGGGTGAGGGCAACAATGCTGTGTTTGTTATTGAAGGGTCTGCCAGGAGCCTACAAACGTGGTTCAGATGGGTTGGGAGCATTGTGGAATGTTTGTTGTAGGGTCATGTTTGTTTGTTACTGCAGGGTCTCTTGGGGCTGTGGTATGTGCAACTGTGGGGTCCTCCAGGTTCATGTGAAGTTGTTGTAGGGGGGGGGGTGTCTCTGGCAGGGATGGGGGAATGTGGTTGTTATTGTAGGGTCCCCAAGAGCACACAGGCTGTGCAGGTGGTCTGGTGGATAGTGGGGGTATCTGCAGAGCCCAGGAGCTGCTCATAGCTACAGGCACCACCTCACCTGGGCAAAGGCGATGAAGAATAGCTGGTCGTGGGTGTACTTCAGGTGGTGCAGGGGGTGCTCGGGGCCATGCTCCCGCACCCACTTCTGGTAAGCCTGGAGAATAAGAAGTGCCAAACTTTGCCACAGAACCCCCAGAAAGCAGGAGTGCCGTGACCCTGCCAGGGCTGTGACACCCCGGGGTGGGGGACACTCACATAGTAGGCGAGCTTGAGTCCCCCCATGTCAGCGATGTTCTCCCCCAGCGTGTGTTTGCCATTCACCTGCCAAGAGAGGGGCAACATGGGTTGAGCAGAGATGTCCCCTGTCCCTATGATGGCATGAAGGCAGTGCCTCAGTTTCCCCCTCAGGGCTCTGAGGGTGTTCTCAGCGGAGGTGTGCTAAGTGGTGGGGTCCCTGAACATCGCTGTGGTGAGGTCTCACCCGCTGGTTGTAGACAGTGAAGTTGTCATAGAGGTTGACAATGCACTGCGCCTTCTTTAGGAACTTGCTGTAGGACGTCTCTGTCCACCAATGCACCAGGTTCCCATGTCGGTCATACTGTCCCCCTGCAGGCACCACTATTTGTCA